TGCCTGTGCTTTGTGCAAAACAAGAATAAAAAAAAAAATGTTTGCTGACTTAAAATCAAGTTTCTTTCTCCATTCCTACCATCTCTGCAACACTGAATATCATCACTTTGTAAAAATATGTGCAATTGGGGCCAGCATCATGGCATAGTAGGCTGAGCTTCTGCCTCTGGTGCCATCATCCCACATCTGCACACGTTTGAGTCCTACCTTCTCCACTTCAATCCAGCTCTTTGCTGTTGGCCTGGAAAAGCCACAAAAGAAGACCCAAATGTTTGGGACCCTGAACCCAAAAGCCCTAGAGCCCTAAAGGAGCTTTTGGCTTCTGACTTTAGATCAATTCAGCTCCAGCCATTGTGGCCATTTATAGAATGAACCAGCAGATGGATGATCTCTTTCTCTCTGTCTCTTCTTCTCTCTCTGTAACCCTGACTTTCATAAAAATAAAGTCCTTTTTAAAAAGTCTCTCTCAATAAAGTGGCAATTGTAATGACAAGTTATCACTAGCATTTTCTCTGTGTCCTCATGTTCTGATCATTGGTAAATGAGTAGGAAGGAGTCCTCCACGCCAATCTGGAGTTGCAGACATGGAAGGTTGCAGGAAATGAGCAAGTATAGTTTAGTTCTGTGACCTGGATAAGACAGAAAAACTGATCTCAGCAACATTTTATAATCCAGAGTTGAGGTGATTGTGTGAATGTCGTCTTTTTCTACATTCACGTGTCTCAAGTTCCAGTGGTCAGTTGAAGAGACACATAGTAGCCATTCAGCAAATATCATATAATTTCATGAAATCATCAAACACAATAGTGTGCTAGAAATGAAATATCTTCATTCTGATCATTTTTTCCTGCACTATTGGAGCAGAACACTGTTTGCTTTACTGTAATGATCATATGCCACATATACAGATCTCCCATATGGGGTAGCAAGGATCCAAGCATTTGGGGCATTATCTTCCACTACCTTCCCAGACAAGGAATTCCAATAGGAGCAGAGCTACTGGAACTTGAACTGGCCATCTGAAATGAGGTGACAATGCCAGTCCAAAAGACAGACCTAGGTCTTTGCAGTGTAAAGGACCTGTCTGCCTCACCTTTCACTTCGGTCGAAGTGACAGAAAAAACCACTCTGAAGTATTACATAGATGTTAGCTGTGCCTTTACTGTGTCAAGTGACGTAAGGAAATCAGCTTCTACCTTTCATCTTTCCAAGTTTCCCTCACTAAAAATAAGGAAGCATGTTACTGGGAAGACCCACACACAAATATATCATTTAGATATTCTGAAACAGTTTCAAGATACTAAAATTGAAAGGTAAGGGCTAAGGCTTCTACACTTGACCAAGTCAGGATGTAAAACCCTGGACTATTCCTCCCACATGAAACAAATCAAAAGAGTAAAGGCGGGCCTGGCGCGATGGTGGCACAGTGGTTAAGGTCCTCACCTCCTCACCTTGCACGCCCAGGATCCCATATGGGCGCTGGTTCTAATCCTGGTAGCCCCGCTTCCCATCCAGCTCCCTGGTGGCCCAGGAAGGCAGTCAAACACAGCCCAAAGCTTTGGGACCCTGCACCCGTGTGGGAGACCTGGAAGAGGCTCCTGGCTTCGGATCGGCATAGCATCAGCCGTTGCGCTCACTTGGGGAGTGAATCATTGGACGGAAGATCTTCCTCTCTGTCTCTCCTCTCTGTATATCCGCCTTTACAATAAAAAATGAATCTTTAAAAAAAAAAAAAGTAAAGGCAGGGGATTCAATTCAGAAAACAATTTGAAGATTCTGTTCATTAAGCAATGTTGTGAGAAAAAGGGACCAGTCGCAGTGGTCCTTGTGACTGTCTCCATGGACTGCCTGTGGAGTTTTCAGTCTGTAGCTCAGGGAAAGGAAGCCTCATGGAGGCTAAGGATGCTGGGATTGGAAGATGAAGCTCCGAGTGCCAGACACCACTCTCAAGGTGGACGTGGGTGGAGACGGGAATCAATCAGAACAGATTCAAGTTTTAGATTTAGCAGAATGTCATGATTATCACACGAGGACAGTAGAACAGTTATAGGGGACTGATGTTGTGGTGCAGATGGTTAAGTTGTCACTTATAGCCTCAGCATCCCATATCAAAGCTCCAGACTGCTTTGCTTCTGACCCAGCTTTCTGTGCAGTAGAGCGTGACTCAGGCAACCTGACCCCTGTCACTCTGCTGGGGACCAGGATGGAGTTCTTGGGCCCTAGCTTCAACCTGGCCCAGCCATAGCTGCTGTGGTCATTTGGAGAATGGACCAGAAGACTGTAGATCTCTAACTGGCTATCTGTTGTCTCGCTCTTTTTTGGTCGTTGCACCTTTTACCAAAATAAATAAGTAATAAATAAATCACTTTCAAAGAACAGTTATTATAGTTGTATTTCACACATTCTGCAACTGAAATAGAGATACAAAAGATTTATTTTTAAACACTCAAATAGACATATGAAGATAAAAACTACAATGTCGGAGGTAAAAGATACCCAGAAGGGAATTAAGAATATGAGGAGTCTGCAGATGCTCCACAGAAAATGCATATCATAAAAACTATGCATGTATTTCAATTTGTTGTGTACTAAAATAAACTTGTAAAACTTGATATCACATGTCTGAACAGGATCTAGTTTTAGGCACTAAGGAGCATAAGACATCAGCCTGAAAAATACTCCTATCAGGGCCCGGTGCAAGAGCATAGCAGTTAAAGTCCTCGCCTTGCATGCACCAGGATCCCATATGGGCCCTGGTTCTAATCCCCACAGCCCTGCTTCCCATCCAGCTCCCTGCTTGTGGCCTGGGAAAGGGGTCGAGGACAGCCCAAAGCCTTGGGACCCTGCTCCAGCATGGGACCCGGAAGAGGCTCCTGGCTTCGGATTGGTTCAGTTCCAGCCATTGCAGCCGCTTGCGGAGTGAGCCATCGGCAAAAAGATCTTCCTCTGTATCTCCGCCTTTCCAATCAAAAGAAATAAATCTTTAAAAAAAAAAAATACTCCTATCAGAGCAACATGAACTTTCCTAAAATTGAAGCAGGAACAAATACAAGCCTTATGATAAGGCTTTGGTGAAATTATTGATGCTGTATGAAAAGTTTGTAGGGACACTGGCCCAGGAAAATTGTCAGCTTACAAACAGATCACTCATTTTAGGGGAGCAAGATGATGTTGAGAATGAAGCTACGGCAACAAATCCTACACATCAATTTGCAAGCAAACAATTAATCTCTTTATGTACTAATTTTGGAGGCCTGATAATTCACAGCAGGATAATAGGCAGCCCAACAGACATCGCAACTGGTTAAATTAGACTATCCTAATTGGAAAGTTAAACTTGTTTTCTGTTGGTGCCAAAACTGTTGTGGGAAGATCAACTGCAAAGAAGAAACTTTCTTGGAAAGTTTAAGCAAGTGAGATGCAGATCATGAAGCCTATCATCGAAGAACTAGGAACAGGAGCTAAAGTGTGACTTTACAATATGATTCTAAAGACAAAAATACAATCAAAGCAGTGCTACCAAGAGGTAGAAGTGGTTCCGTCACAGCAAAAGCAGACTAGTCAAGAGTTAAGGTTCTGTCTCTCCTCTCTGCAAATCTGTCTTTCCAATAAAAATAAATAGACCTTTAAGAAAAGAGAGAGAGTGAGAGTGAAATAGTGCTGGGGAAAAAAAAGAGTTGGGAGATGCATGAGGCATCTTGCTCCCTAACTTTCTGGAGGGCTGAGGAATAATAATGTCTTATCACAAGAGGGCTTTGAGAAAGTTAACTAAATCTGCAAGAGAATAGCAACTAAGATAGCTTTACCAGGTAATCCTTCTTCATCAAGATAATGCAGCAGCTCACTCCTGTCCTCTAATGAGCGATTTTGCAAGCTTTCTCTCTGTGGGAAATCAGTCCTGATTTGACTCCTTCTGTTTTGTTTCCAAATTTTAAGAAAATAACTCATTTTAAAGCAACCATTCTCTTTCAGTTAATAATGTTAAAGAGATTGCATAACTCCCTGGGGCCCTCAGTCCTTTATAGATAGACTATTATTTACATAAGTGTCTTGCTCTTGATGGAAATTACGTTGAGAAATACGCCTTGCAGTTTTAAATGATTATCTTTTAACTCCATTTCTATGAACCCTGTGAAGTTATTCTCTCTACATTATAAAAAAAAAAGACTAAGCAATGAAAAGGAATGAGCTGCAGCTATAATGATGAATCTCAAAATAAGTGTGTCATGTGAAAGAATTCACAGAAAAGATTTTTTTTTTACTATATGATTCATTTTATATGAAAGTCTAGAAAATTAAAAATAATCTGCAGTTACAGAAAGCAAATCAGTTGTTACTTGCGATGGGAAGGAAAGGGAACTGAGGAAGTTGAGGTGGCGGGGTGGGGTTCAGTTCCTAAAGGAACAAAAGAGTTAAACCACTGGAAGCTTTGGGAAATAGAAAAGTAATAAAGGTAACCATATGTGATTTTGAAACAATTAATTTTTCAAGTTCTAGAGAACAGTAAAATCAGTATTCAAACCTACAGGGCTGAGAATTTGGCTTAGCAGTGAAGATGCTGGTTAGGGTTTTTGAACCCTGCATTGGCATGTCTGGGTCTCCTGATTCCAGCTTCCTGCTAATAATGGTCATCCTGTGACCTACATGGAAGGTGGTCTGGATTGTTTTCCTGACCCACAGTTTCTTCACTCCACTTCAATTTTCATTTGAGAAAGTACTAGATGAGGGGGAGGGCTGTCTCATTCTACACCTTCTGTCAAATTAATAAAGTAAGAACATGCCTCACATTTATTTGCTGTACATTCAATCTAATAACCTTATTTGATATGAGATACGGGCTTAAAAACCTTCTTAATATCTGATTACAAACACAAATACTTTTATTCCTCTTGCCTTGCTTCATTAAGAACAGTTTGTGTGATGCACGTTCATTATTGTTTACAATTAACTGATTTGTGTATTCTCCTGTTCCAAATGTGTCTGTCCTGATTTCTCCTCAGTTTGATGCTGACCGAGATGAGGATGCAGTGTTCTATGACATCAGCTTGGCAGTTGACAACAAGTTGTTTCCCAATAAAGAGGCAACAGCAGGTGAGTCGCTGAGTCCTTGTGGCGGCAGTACAGCAGGATAACTCACCAAATGTCTGGGGCTTGTGTGCGTGGCTGAAGCTCAACAACTGCTGTCAGGTTTTCACGACAACCTTGTCCTCTGAGCCTTGTGCTTTCTGGCTTAGAAATAAAGGGACAGAACAAGATAGATGAGGACTATGATTCTGTGCTTTTGTAGTTCTAGTTTGCTTTCTGTCATTGCACATGGAAATTAGCAGACAGTTACAAAGTGACATAGGATCCATGTGATCATAATAGACCAAAAAGCTAATGGAAATCATGCAATTATCATGTACAACAATGAAATGTCATAGTTCCTCCAGATCCCCAGGTCTTACAAGTTTCTCCTATGTCATCTGGAGAAAACATCCCGTTGCATTGAGTCACCGCAGCATGCCAGCATCCAGTTCCTGTCCCCTTTTCCTCAGCACCCACACCTGGCAGTCTGTCCTTGAGCCCTCTGGGAGTCAGGGTGCTCATGCCCTTAACTCAGATGGTACTGAACATTCTGTCCTTGAACCTCCTTTTGTTCTCCATGCTCTCTCTGATCTAGGTCAACTGACTGGTCCGTGCGGCTCCAACTGTCAATTCTGTGTGGCTGGCTCTCACATCTTGATATCAGATATAGCCCAAAGGGTAAAGACCGAGAGCTTGGGTAGGAGGAGAAATAGGCAAAACATATCAAATTCTAAACCGCTGCTTGAAGCCTCCTAAAATAGCTTCAAAGAAAAGCAGAATTATAAGAAAAGCAAAGTAGTGTTTCTGGGAATGCCCCACAAATAACTAAGGTAAACTCACCTGCCATTCTTCAGGGGGTATTTGGAAGAGATGTCCATTGCAGGGAAGGTAGACTATTGAGAGTCTTGTAAAACTATGTGAACAATACTGCTGTTAATCTGAAAAAGTGATGACTCTGATGCTTTTTAAGTTAATATTTCATTTAAAATTTGCTGTAAAAATAGTTAGCTAACTGCTGTTTATCCTGAATTTGCTGAATCAGGGGAGTAGAGCAACTAAGTCAAGCTCCCTCTTCTGCCCCAACCTTGGCATTTGGTGATCCACTGGTGACATTTCTCCAAGAAAGCCTGCCAGGCAGTGATGCAGCTGTACTGACTTCTGTGCTAATAAACACCTGGGGACAGGTACCTTGTCCTCATTCTCTTGAAATCCTTGATGGAGTTCACGGGGCTTAGTCACAGTTGTGTTGTCTAGGTGCCTACTCTCTCCTTCCTCCACTTCTCAACATATGAGCAGAGAAGTCTACTTAAGTCTTCAGCTTCTGTTGACTCCATTCCACTGCTGAGAACCCTGAAAGCTGGGCCCTGCTGTCACCTTGAAATACACCTGCTCTGTCTATCATGAATGTCATTGGTGCGTAAAGAGGCTGAAAGGGACTATGATAAACCAAAAATGAATGATGCCTGCCTCTCAGCAGGCAGCCACCACACAGCTTCAGGCTCTTGCTGCCATTAAGGAAGTGGTGCTGGGTCCTCAAATTTCCTGAAATAAAATGCAGTCTTGTAGTCATAGGTGAAATCTCCCAGCTTGAAAATGTCAGTGACTCACCCAAGAAACAAGTTATGGCTGTGGCCCCTGCTCTATGAATTACAGCCTCCAGGTTTTGTCCTTCTTCTCTTCCCTTCTGTTGAACTCTTTGCCCCACAGCACCCACATCCCTGCTGTGAAAATGGCTTTGATGTTTCCCAGAGATCTGGCAGCAATGTTCTTGCCCACTCACCCCACTACCGTTATTCTCCAGGAACACACTAGGAATCCAGGCCCTCTCTATTTCCGCTGCCCTTGTGGGAAGCCTTGTCATTCTTTCATCCCTTGCCTCCCCTATCTGTCATGAATCCTGTTGCTGCCACGGAGATCCTTACGGAACACAGATTTAATCACCGTGCTTCCTTGGCACGAAACAAAATAATGAAAATCTGAGGTGACTGTCCTACAGGCAAAGCACCAGTGTCCTTAGCATGACAGAAAACTAAATCCTTGCTTTTTCCTACACTATTCTGGGTCTCCAGGCTCCAATCCCCTACAGCATCACCCACACCAGGTTCGTGTAGCTCCTTAAATGCTTTCTGGCATCTGCACCTGCACTTCCAGGTTCTTAAAACACCTGCTTCCCCTTGTCAGCCTCTTCTGTCCTAACTCAAGAGCCCCATCCTTCACTGAGCTGGAAGGTCCCTTGTGCCTCCGCGTAAGTGTAATTTCCTCACAAGGGCTTTCTCCATCCCCATCTCAGACTGGATGAGACCTCACATTAGATCCTGTGTTTCTCCTTCCTGGTACTCACCATGGTTTTGATTCCATAGGTAGTTGTATAATTTCTTGGTGAGAAATCTCTTTCCCTTAGAGTGTGAGACCTCATGAAAACAGGAGACTATGTATGTTCACCACATTCCCAGGATGAACCTGATAGGAGCTGGCAGAGGCCTTTCTTTTCCAGCTGGCCATTTCCACTGGAGGACATGAGTTCCAGGCACACCAAGACTCCCTTGGTTCCAGAGTAAAGTGTGTATTTGCTTGCCTCCATGCCTTTTCTCATAGACGGCCTGGGTCTTTCCCTCTCTCTGTAACTCTGCTTTTCAGATAAATAAAAATAAATCCTTAAAAAGAGAGAGAAAAGGGCCTGACACAATGGCTCAACAGCTAAGTCTTCACCTTGCAAGTAACAGGATCCAATATGGGCATTAGCTTGTGTCTCAGCTGCTCCACTTCCCATCTAGCTTGTGGCCTGGGAAAGCAGTAAAGGATGGCCCAAAGCTTTGGGACCCTGCATCTGGCTCATGGCTTTGGATCAGCTCAGCTCTAGCCATTGCAACCATTTGGGAAGTGAACCAGCAGATGGAAGATACTTCTATGTCTCTTCTCTCTGCAAATCTGTCTTGAAAAATAAAGAAATAAAATAGCCTAGAATTTAAAAAGAGAGAAGGCTCCGAGTGTATAAGTTAATATCTTTGCAAAGGACTTGAGGGCTCAGGTAAGAGCCCACTGGGAGGGGAATGTCTGGAATGCTGTCCCATAAAGCTGTGTGCCTAGTGTCTGGTACATGCAAAGCCAATTCACATCATCCTCCTGCTTGAACTGAAGGAGACAGCCTGAAAATGCGTTCAAAGGCCATTCTAGAGCTGAAATCAGTGACAGTGCTCTCTGCGGGGCTCTGTATTTCAGTTCATGCCTTTCCGGGTTATCTATGGAAAGAATATTTTTAAAACTGAAAAGAAATCAAGAAATTCAAAAATGAAAGCCAAAGTGCACTTTTGTAACATGCCCCAATTTTGTTGTCTTAATGGTGAAACAAGACATTATAGTGTTTATGTGTGTGTGTGTGTGTGTGTGTTAACTTGTCCAATAAAAATAGGCAAAAATGTGTACAGATGTCGATCTCTGCTTCGTAATTTTATATAGCAAAATTTGGACTATTATTAACTGCCCCATTTTCAACAAACCAAGAAGTCAATGCTACATGAAAACAAAAGCAACTCAATCATTGGCTGAACTGATAATACTGTCTTCTGTCTTTTATCTATATCATAATATATTAATATTTCTGTTGCCAAGAGCAACAATGTGTCAAATAATTCAATGTCTTAATGATACAATGAAATTTCCATTAAAAGCTTTTTTCTAGGAAATCCAATCCTTTCTTGCTTATGAACATGTTTTTTTAAAGAAGATATTTTCATTCTGCTGTTATTAAAGATCATTTTCTAATCATGTTGCCGCAGTTCAAATATTAATATGTAACATTGCTTAACTGGGCTGATTAGAAGCTCTTCACACTGTACTTTTTAAAAACAAATGAAAGAACAGTTTCTAATTAAATAAAGTAGGACACAGGGCCTAAAGGAAGCTGGATTGCATGGTCAGATTACATTGCTTCTTCTACTTGAATCTGTTTACAACCGAGGTGACTGTCTCATTTGAAACCAGGTACCTGTCACCACTTCCTCAAGTGGGTGGCAGGTGATATCCATATTGTGCAAGTGATGAAAGCTGAAGAAATTCAGCATTGCCTTTAATGATGCTTCTATAGGAGCCACCTAGAAAGCAGCGCTGATTGTCAGTGGTTTGAACTTGACTTTTCATATTACTTATTCTTCCTTTTTCAAAGCCACTCTGTGATCCACCTCGCCATTCACCATTCACTTGCCCTTTTGTCAAAATGTAAAATAGACAGCATACTTTTCCAATTCCTCACTTGTGGTATTATGTAGAGAAAATACTATTTATAAAACTGTTGGCATTGGTGCTGCTTAGAATTTGGAGTCAGCAGGATATGATAGAAGTAAAAGAACTATGGGTTCTCTCTTGGATCACATGTACTTTTACATGTCACAGGCCAAGTTATTTAACTTTGTTAAATATCCATATCTTGTTTTAAATAAAATCCACATCTTGTTTTCCTCATTTCTAAAATGAGTAGGTGAGACGCTACAAAATAATGGTTCTACAATTTCTATGACTTTGTGATAAAAGAATATACATTTTTACATCTGAAGTTTTTATTCTTACAACTGCAAAGTAGTTTTCAAGCTGAGCTTAGATACAGTCAAGTAATTATCTTACAAAAATTTTTAGTTGAAACATACCAAGATGAGTTGGTGTGTAAGTGTGTGCATGTGATCTCTCTTTCTCTCTCTCCTTCCTTCCACTTTCTCCTCCTCTCTCCCATTCCCTCTCCCTCACACTCTTACGACTTTATCTTCTGTCTCCTTCTTCCTCTCTCTTTCTTTTTCTCTCTCTCTCTCCTCCCTGCTCTCTGTCTTTTCCTTGACATACTACAGCATCACTTTTCTAGAACATCAACCACACAGCACATCGTAGATGCCAGAAACTATCAGTAAACTCATCATGAAGGAATAAACTAAGGGGCAGATGCATAAGCAATACTGACTTTTAGAACAAAATTATAAAAGTAAAATAGAGAGAAATGGGAGAGAGGTTGAAAGTCACAGCTACTATTGATCATACTGGCTCTCTGTGCTGAGGTCATCTACATGACCATCCTGCTAGACCTCCTGTTCCTGCTCAGGAGAGATGTACAGCAGAACAAGGGAAATAAACCATCCATGAAGACATAAAAAATAAATCTTATCACCAAAACATAGTATGCTGTATATTGTTTAAATTAAATATACATATATTTTACCTCTTTATATTGTATATCAAACTCAAAACTATTACCAAAAGCCTCATGTTTAGCAAACCAAATAACCAGTACCAAAGAAAATGAAAACTATTCAATCATTAGCTGAATTGATAACATCTATTATATGTATAGCATTTCCTGCTGTACATATAGTCTTGTTCTACTGGTAGCATTGCATGTAATCTTCTATCAGCCACCCTGTTAACAATGGAAATATTCAGGCTGCTCTGACAATGTGATTGGCATCAACCATACTCATTGTGAACATCCATAAGCAACTACACATGGCAGTTCTACAACGAATGGTTACATCCCTTGATGGTTTAGACGTTTCCATTCTGAAAAACTTCAGTATCCTTTTTTAAAAAAAAAATAAAGATACAAACACAATAAATAATGCACTTGATCTTAGCCGAAAGGCCGAGAAGCGATCACAATAAATAATAATATCACTGGTTAGTGTATACTCAATTTGGTAATGGCCAGTACTTGGTCAGTTTAGTTGACAATAGAGTTAGTGATAAGAGAACAGAAGAGGAGAGACGGGAAAGAGAATGTGAGGACCTATTTGATTCTTGCTTTGGAAGAATGTATGAAAGTAATTTCTACTGACATCCATATTTGAGAAGTGCATGAGATGTTTGGTATTTATAAAATCCATCTTCATTAAACATTATTCATTACGTATTCTGACCAAGAATTAGCTGACAAGGTCAAGTTTACAATGAAACATGCAGTGATTTGTTGTCTCCAAGGATACATAACCTTTTGTCAGCAGCACTGAATTCCTTGTGTTTAGTGAAGTGATATATATTTCCCAGCAAGAAAGACTTGTTATATTAAAAAAGATGATTCAATTGTGCTTCAGAAGTCCTAGTGTGAAAAATATCACCTTAAGCCTCAGGGATTAATGAACAAGCAGTTTAGTGTAACCTATGCTCTAGAGGGAGATGAATCTCTTCATTAATGCATTTGGATAACCTGATTTTTCTAACCTTCAGGGACCAAGATCAATCAAGGACTAGAGAAAAACTTCTCAGGCATTCATAAAGGAAACCGACCTTTCTTCTTTCTGAGAACCTCCTGCTCCTCTCTGTTCTTTGCTGGTGGTGTTCCTTCTATATCAGTTACTTTGACAGGCCTTGAAATTGTTTGTTCTGTTGACAAGCTGTTTTCAGGCTCAAAGTTCAGGTTCACAAATTAGTTCCTTGTGAAGAATCCCAACTCTACCATCACCTCCACCACTAGTCAGAATTAGCAGCTTGGTCTTTTGGTAATTAGCCTTTCTGCTGACAAATTAGCCTTCCCCACTCTGTGTCTCCTAAAGAGCAGAATAAGCATCCAAAATGACTTCATCGTGAGTCTCTAATCAGATGTGGAGCCTGCAGAGTTTAAAAGTCTAACACCGTTGTGTACTTAGTGTAACTATGAGGCACTAAGGAAAATTCATGTCAGAGAGTTTGCTTTAGGAGCATACATATATACCCTCCATCAGCTGATCTTTTCTTTCCTAATCTTAGGTTCAAACGACCTTGATCCTTCAGTGATGCTGGACACTGGGGAGCTCATTGATACAGGATCTGATTATGAAGATCAGGTAATCAAAATTTTAAAAGTGTGTCTCTATTCACATGTTTTTAATTTTAGCTTTTGCAACATTATTTTGAAAATTGTGATTATGAATCTTCATCCTGTGAAATCCTTATACATAATTGGTGACTTGTTCCATGGTAAATCGTGGTAGTCCATGACTGTCTCTCACTATCATTGGCTCACATTTATCCACAGACCCAAAACCACAGTTCATTAATGAAAAACCCAAGGGAGAAAAATCACATGACATAGGAATGAGGTTCTCTTGCCCAAAATTTTACCTGTGTATCTATCTAATCCTAATAATAAACTAGCTGCATAGACTGAAAAACAGCTACTGGTTCAGGGCTCTGTCATTCAATGTTCAGCCTTTGCCAGGTAATGATGGTCAAGGAGAACACAGTTGAGGAGTTAAATGTATTTTCTTTTTGAAGAAAGTAAAGAGCTGTATCTGGGTCATTCTTGCCTTGCAGAAGAGCTTTCCTTGCTGCAACATTTAATGATCCAAAATAGTTGCCAAATGATTCTACTATTTAGTTAAACTTTAGTTTTAAAAAGGGATAATGGGCAAAGATGGACTCCCAATGAAACTGTTTGATATATCTGGACAATGGGATGACAGGTTGTCTAGAATGATGGGCTGTCTGACATTGTCTGTACCAACAATGTTGGGGCACACTTAAAAAACAGACTGATGGAAATGTAACTCCTTGTGAAGGTCTATACTATTGTTACAATATGGGGAAAATCAGTCTGGAGGTGGGAATTGGGAGGGGAGGGGGCATCCCACAATCTACAGAATTGTATCATAAAATTCAAAATTAAAACTAAAAAAATTTTTGAAAATTTTTTATTTTATTATTTTTTAAAGATGTATTTATTTTATTGGAAAGGCAGATGTACAGAGAGGAAGAGAGACAGAGAAAATCTTCCATCCGATGATTCACTCCCCAAGTGGCCGCAATGGCCGGTGTGGGAGATCATTCCGGATCTCCCACATGGGTACAGGGTGCCAAGGCTTTGGACCATCATCGACTGCTTTCCCAGGTCACAAGCAGGGAGTTGGATGGGAAGTGGAGCTGCCGGGATTAGAACCAGTGGCCATATGGGATCCCGGTGCGTTCAAGGCGAGGACCTTAAGCATTACGCTATTGCGCCGGGCCCAAAACTAAAAATTTTTAAAGAAGAATAATTTTGAACAACTTTAAAAAGTGCAGGGGGTGGGTATAATGTTGCCTCCGAGCCAGGAATTCACAGTGCAGGCTGTTTTAAACCTGGGAGCCTGTACAGGACCTACCACACCACCAGCCGCTTTTGGCTGGTGGGAGGGTGCACAGCCTAGCCTCTGTGCTGGAAATTCACAGCACTGGCTGCTTAAAATCAGCTTGTGCCATCTTGGCTCAGGTAGCCATGGCATCAACATCAATGGGCTTCAGCTGCTGACAACCCAGTGATGAGCTCTGGGACTGGGGTGAGGAATTACTGCCTAGGGACACCCATGGATAAGGCCACCATAAATGTAGGTGAGAAATGACTCCTAAGGGATTCCCAATGACAGGGCCAATAAACTTGCAGGTAAGCGAGGGGACTGAGAATTCGTGGCTTGGAGAGGAGAAACCAGAAGGTCTGTATGAGTCAGAATAATGCACTAGCCCACATGGGAATCCTAAGATGGGCTTGTTAGCAAGGAACTTTGTTGAAAGCTAGGGCTGGGAACCTGTCTGGCAGGGCTAGATCCCAGTACCAGACTAAATGTCGGAACAGGGGATGGGTCACATTAGGCAAGGCCATGATGATAACCAGCACACAAGAGAACCAGTAGAGTCTGTGGGGGATATTTAAGCCCAACCCTATGCAAATACAAGTCCCACTAGTTAGCTTAAGAGTTACAGTGGTGATGGGTTGAGTTAGGTATGAACATGGAACCTGACATCACTCATGGGTACGGGAGCCATGAGTTGGCTGGGCAGGTCCAGGCTGAAGCACCCACATGCGCACCCTAAAATAGGTTGTGAGTGGGCTGGGCCACAACATTTACCAACTCATACAAAGGCCAAGATGGAGGACAGGCTATGCCAAGCAAGGGCCTAAAACCCACTGGCATGTGTGAAATATGGGTCTGGGAGTGGGCCAAGTGGGGGGATGTTGGAAACTCCACTAATAGGTCATAGCTCATGCTGGTGAGCACTTGGTCCAGGTTAAGTGTCAGGATGGCTGGGCAAGGTAGTTCCATCCGTTGGCAACTTTGTGGGTTGATTTTTAGAAGGGAGAAGGCCAACCAGAGCCAACCAAACCTTAGCTCACTGCCAAGTGCAGAAACAAGGCTGGAGCTCAGGTCATGCCAGGCCAGGCTATACACCTACCAGTTTGCATGAGCCAGGAATGGGAACAGACTGAGCAAGGCCTGGTTCCAGCACCTGCCAGCGAGAGTTGGGACTAGGGACAGGCTGTGTCAGGCCAGCCCAGGCTACAGCATCCAAAGGCAAAGGCCAAGACAGGGGAGAGACTATGCCAAGCTGGGTCAGAGCAACCATTGGCACATGTGAGATCTGTGGCTGGCTAGGAGCAGGCCTGGTTGGGGAGCTGTAGCCCTTGATACTTTGTACCCTAATCAACTATGTAAAAATCATCCAAAAAATTTTAAAAAAAAGAATTGTAAAAAAAATTAAGTCTTTGATTCTCATTTTTTGGTGAGACTTACTGAGACTGGATCCTGACTATTGTAATTTGTCCTCTCTGCATTACTAATCTCATTTAACTTTCCTCAAAGAGCTTCTCACTTCTAAAACGTTTTTTGTTTTTTAAAGATTTATTTTATTTTTGTTGGAAAGTCAGATTTACAGAGAGGAGGAGAGACAGAGAGGAAGATATTCCATCCGATGATTCATTTCCCAAGTGGCTACAATGGCCGGACCTGAGCTGAGTAGAAGCCAAGAAGCCAGGAGCCTCCTTTAGGTCTCCCACAAGGTTGTAGGGTCCCAAGGTTATAGAATCCTCTATTGTTTTCCCAGGCCACAGATAGGGAACTGGAAGGAAAGTGGGACTTCTGGGACACAAATTGGCACCTATATGGGATCCCAGGAGGTGCAAGATGAGTACTTTAGCTGCTAGACCACCACGCTGGGCCCTCATTTCTGCAAATTTAAAAAATTTACTAGCTTGTTAGTTTTAAATTTTATTTTATTTTATTTTATTTTATTTTTTACTATCTGTTTTCCCTATGAAACTGTAGACTCTGTGGCAAAAGTCACTGACTATTTTATGCCATTACATATCCCAAGTGTCTAAATAGAACTTGGAGCACAACAGATGCTCAACATGTACTAAAACTTATTCAATGAATGAGAAAAGAAGGGTGGGACATCAAGACAGGATGTGTTTCTTCAACATGGGGACTTGGTGTTTTCCTTGCCTGCAACAATTAACTGTCACCTGCTAAAATATAGCCTCTTTTCCATCTCCTCTACGCTCTCCTTTGGAACTCCTTTTAGATTACAAGTGTGTCACTCCTATCTTTGTGTTCTCACTGATCCTTAAATCCTTTCTCATATCTGACAAGTATTTAGCTTTTTGCTTTTATAATAAAGCAATACTCTGCTTTGCCATTAAATCTGTTTTCAGTTACAGGTAATTTACTATTCAGCATGTTAATGAAATTTGTATTTCAATGATTTTTTTTTTGCTAGAAAAATATCTTTCTTTTCCCATTTCTGCTTATTTTCCATTTTTACTGTATCTTATAGTTTTGAATATTCCTTTTATTTCTTTGAATATTTATAATACTCTTACTGTAAGACGCTTTGGATTTTTCTGCTGTTTTAAGTCTTGGGGAATGAAGCCTTGTATTTGCTCTATCAATGTGTTTTCTTGTTACATTTATTTTTTTGGTGCAGACTGTAATTTTAGATCATGAGTGGTTGTTTGGCATTTCTTCTGCTGGGATCCTCAGAGCCAGAAACTAGGGAGGCTCCAAGTCTGTATCCCTGAATGGGTCTGTGTCTAGAGGCTAGGATGGCAGATGGTATAGTGTGGGTCCCAAGGAATAAACCTACTGAGGAACTGTGTGTTTAACCTTTGGCAAATTGCTCTTTCAGTCTTAATTTTCTTATCTGCTAACTAGAGATGATTATTCCCAAAGACACTGTGGAGAATTACTGAACTCATCAACATAAGGAATTTAGCAGTGTTTTTCATGTAAGCGCTTAAATATTAAAATTATCATAAATATGCGTCAGCTTTTATGATACTTGCAAATCTTCCCCTTTGTGATCTAAGGAAGAGTTCTCATGTTTGTGAAAATAGCTTCCGAGTGTGTGTTGGAGATGGCCGTTGCTGTGGCATGGACACATGGGTCAGGCCTATGTACTGTCATATTTGTAACACACATTTTTTTGCAGATGGGAGCAACAGCTCCCATAAGAACATGTTCACTTGGCTTTTAGCCAAATCTGGGAGCACAGAGAAGAGGGAGAAGAAAGTTTCAAACATTATTTCCCTCCACCTTTTAAAAGATAATTATTTTTATTTTTGATGATTTTTACATAGTTGATTAGGGTACAAAGGATCAGGGGCTACAGGAAGGTGGGTGAGATCACCAATCCACATTCTCTTTTTTTTTTTGTTCCTTCCTGTATATAAGAGGGAGTTAAGGGGATAAGCCATACCCAGTCTCCCAGTCACTTCCATACCATGAATGAAAGACAGCCACCTGACGCCATCCCAGGATCCTGATGTGGGGCATGCTCTGATGGTCCTGCTCAAGAGGTTCTGATAGTTGAATGGTTCTGATTTACTGCTGGTCTCACCACTCCAAGCACAATAAAATTTCTCCAGAATCCACTGTTGTCATACTCCACCTTAGAGTCTCCTTTTGCCCAGATATTCACTGCCAACACTTGACTAGGGTAGTTTGTTTGCTCCATCTTCTGTTGTGGTACCAGGTATTCTCTGCAGACTCCTATGTACTGCATGGCTAGACCATGGAACGTGCAATTCTCTCAATGG